TACCAGCTACGGAGACCCGTTCCACGTCTCTGAGCAGCCCCAGCACCAGAACTGTGCCATCTCAGAACGGCGCCAGTTCTGTATGCCTGCCCACGTCTCGGAGCAGCTCCAGCTCCAGCTCCAGCGGTCGGCGCCAGCCCGGTGCCCGCGTCCGCAGGCGGCCGTAACGACCGCCGACAGGCTCGCACGCGCGTCCGAGCGGCCGGCGGATCGATGAATCGAAGAGCCGGACGGCGGCGCCGCGGTGCGTGGTCCGGCAGATCGGACGCATCACTCGCCGTCCGGCCGACAGACAGGGCCGATACGCACGGCGACACGGCTGGCAGACTCCCGGCCGTTGCCACCGACATGTCGGGCCCGCCGGCCGCCGACAGCCGCGTCCGGCGCGCCTGTCCGCGTGCAAGGGCCTGAGTGCTGCGTCCTCGCTCGGTCGACCGGCCGGGCCGGGGGGCCTGCGCCGGCGGCGGCGCTGGCGCTGTCGGCGCTGGCCGCCGGGGGAGCGACAGGACCCAAAGACAAATGGCGTCCATCTCGACCGCAACGGCAACAATAAAAGACTGTCTCCGGGGCCACGCCAACAATGAGCCTGGATTACCGCCTATTCCCGGGGAGGTCGTTACCGGAGGAAGCCTATTTGGAGCTGCACAACTCGGCCGCCGGCTAATGATTCCTCACAAATGTCCCGCGCCACTTTGGTCGACCGATGGAGACAGGCCGCTACAGGCGTAATGGCGCGCGCGCCGCTGTCTAGGGTCCGGCCCGTCTGATGGGGTTCGAAGCGGCGGCGGTCGTCACATTTCTCGGCGATCGAGCAGCGGCTGCTGTTCAGTCGATGCTGAAATGCGGCGGACCCCTCCTTTTTTACCAATCCGTTTGTCCGTAGCCTGAGTCTGGTGTCCTGCGTCCTAGATTAACTGTCGTTATTTGGCAAAGTGCCGCTCGCCGTGTATGCATTGCAAGCAATGGGTGATAAGTGTACGCATCAAGGCCCTTCTCTGTTTGCATCTCGGTCGTATCTTCTGTCTGCTGGCATATACGTGACATCGGATTTCTTGTTCAGCAGGCGTGACGACATGAGATGATGTCATGCCATTGTCTCACAATTTAGCGGCGTTTCTGTTTTCATCTAGATCCTCAGCCATCACGTTTATCCCCGATTCCCCTGCCCCCGCGCTCCGCGTGTTGCTTCACATGCATCGCCTGCGCGAGCATTCCACATATTACTCCATCTAGTCAGCGCCAGACCTTGCTTTATCTTCCGTGTCATCTCGATCGGCGCTCTGTCTTCGGCCGTGCAGTGTCACAAACGGTCGCGCCGGTGCCGGGCCGACGAGCAGTTGTCGGGGCGGTGATCCTCTGTGTCGGCCTGTCACGCGCGCGTGTGCCCTGCCACGCCGGGGCGGCGCCGCCACTTCCAGCTGTCACGGCGGCCGCGCGGCGGGCGCCGTCGCCATCGGCGCCCTCTGGCGGGGCGGGCCGGCCGCCACTCACCGCGACACTGCCGGCGCCGACGTCCGGTGTCGCGTCGGAGCGACGGCGACACCTGTGCCGCCGCCCGGCAGCTCGGGCGGCGGCCTCACGGCCCGCCGCATCGCGCTGGGACTCGCGAAGCTCGGGCGGCCTGGCTGACCGTCGGCGGCGGGTTGGAGGGCGCGTCAGCTCACCGCCGCCAGCGCTCTATCGTCCCGTGCCATCTGTTTTTTCGGCGTCGCACCATTTGACTCAAATTTTTCATCGATTTAGTTTAATTGCGGCCCATTTGTCAGCAGTCGCTGGGCCCCACGCAGCATAATTTTTCAGTCTGCCAGGCGGCTCCCCGGCGCACCCTTTCTAGCCGGGGGCGTCATATCGAACATCCCAGAGCCAATCCAGCGCAGGCAGCGGCCCGATTGAAGATGAAAAGACCGAGCATTGTTGCATTACCGAGCTGCTCTGCAACGCTCCCAGCTGAACGACCCTTCGATCGACAGCCAACCGCACGCCTGGGGGGATTCCGTCAGATTTGGTCGGATTCAGTCGAAGGGCGTCATCGCGACTGGCCATGCTACCTTGAATGTGCTTCGAGTGAAGTACAATAATTTATCTGCTGCCTGGTTTGTTCCGTCTGCGGGGCTGTAATGACAGCGGCAATTAACTTAAACTGCAGACCAATTTACTTAATTACTTTTAGGCTAACGAACCATGCATATAAAGACGTCAATGTAGCGTAGCCTTTCATGACTTACAGCTGCGGACTTGTATGATGATAGGTGCTGCAAATTGTACCCTAGCAGCTTGATAGTATACGGTAACTGAAGCCAGCCGCTGATCATACCATTTGAATGCATCATCGCAATTGATGCGGTCTTGGTTGCGTCTATAAAACGTTGCCCCTATCACCAGGTGAAGGCCAGACGTATCGCTGCCCACCAATGTGTGCGCTCCATGTCGAGCTGAGACGCAACCGGCTCCAGAATCAGCCAAAGCTGGCTTAAACTGCCGTAAAACGGTGCAGTGTGTGGACGTTAGAACCGAGTCACATTCAAGCTAGGGCAGGCGATGGGTTGGCTCATTTAGCCGCCCGTTTCCCTGGTCTACCCGACGTCGACGTCTGGCCCAAACCTTTACAACGCGGCCGAGTGAGGGGCGAGGACACTCGTAACGAAGTGGCGCCGGCCCAGCACCGCAGTCAAATCAGCATGCCGTTTATGGCAACACATCGCACAGCCCGAGCTTCCTGCACATGAACGGAGCATGCGGGTATGATGGGCCGTTAGAGCGAAGCTGTGGGGCGACGGTCCGGCGGGACTGTACCGCCCTGCATTGACGTGACCCACAGGCGTCCGCAGGTCGACGCCGGCCGGCGCCGGCCGCCACCCTCGTCGCCGCCACCGGACGACACTCGTCAAGTATTTTTACACGTGCCGCGACCGCGGCGAGCGGAAAATTGAAAGTAACCCCAACAGCTCCCGCGTGGCCGCTAAAGGGGGCAATTTGAATGCCCGCGGCTACGATTTCGTGTGGCGGCGGCGGCGGCGGCGAGTAATGGCAGCGCTACAGCACTAAAGCCGGCGCGCACCGGGGGCGCTGTAAAACGTCAACAATCGTGATAATCGCAACCCGCCGGTTGATTGATGAGCGCGACTAGCGCAACCGGCATCGATTTGCCGCCGCTGTCGTGACCTGGCTGTGTCGCCCCGGGCGCCGCGGCCGCGTGTCCGCCGCCCCTAACCGCCTGGGGCGGCAGTGACCGGTCACGAGCCGGGATTGCGCGCCCGCGCAGGGTGTGTGGTGTCGCGTACTCGGGAACCGTGGGGCCTGAAGGGAAGCGATAAGGAAAGGGAGGGGGGGGGGGCGGGACGTCGGACCGTATGATGACTAGCGAAGCAGTTCTTTCTGGTTGCTGGCTGCGTGACGACAGGCTAGAGCCGTCCTCTCCGGCCGCCCGCCCCATGACCGGAGCCGTCCAGACCGGTTGTCCACTGCCGAGATGGAGCCGTCCCGTCTCGTCCCGTCTCATCCGGCCACGATCGCCCGGAAACATCCGGCCATCAGCATCTCCACTGCGGGCCGGCCGCGGCCCGCCGACGACAACGACCCCACCATTGTGAGCCGCCCTAATGGAAAGGCCGAATGTCCTCGGAACAAAACGACCCGAACCCCGCGTCCGGGGAAATGCCGTCGGGCACGCCAGCCTTGCATACCTGGCCGGGCCGGGCGAAGCACGAAGAGAAGCGCGCACAGCCCCAGTCAAATGCATGCACCGCTCCGCAGCGGCGTGCTCGCAGTTTGCATAAACACCACGGCAAATGAAGGCTGAATGGGACCATAGGTACAGTGCATGTCACGGCGTGAAAATAGAAGACGGATGCTCACACATTTATTTCATGACACGAACTGCGCCTTGGAAGAGTAGTTACGGAACAACAACGGAACTGCAGGCAAAGACGTGCTCAGTCTGATGGCTTATAACTCTGACCATATTTGGAATGGCATACAAATGAATAACTCGTCAAGGCACACATTTTGAAGAAATTAGGCCGTTTGAGTAGCGGCACAAGTGCTCGTGGCACGTATTTCGTTATCTACTAATCGATAGGCGGGGTGGCGCAGGACGCCTGCAGCTCCCGACTCATATCGAGTAACGTCCATGACCGATGCATGAGCAGGCGGGCCAGCTGTCGACCCACCCCCTGCATCATGCAGCGCTAATTAGCCGACTGCGCCGCGATGGTCGCGACTGCCGCGGTCGCGAGTCCGGTGCGAGCTCCGTCCGAGTCGCTGAGTTACGGACTCAGCGCGTGCTTCAGGCCAGCAGACCGCGGCCGCACCCGTGCAGCCGTGCTGCCGTGTGATGTCAGGGCTCGGTGATGACGACATGAGGGCCTGCGGAAATCTTGGGACCTTTGGGACGTTTGAAAACCAAAACCTTGCGATTCACAGCAGCGGGAGGCATGAGTGTCGATCGGAACATGGGGACGTCTGAACGTGGTTTCTGAAACGCCATAAGCTCCTGGCCATTGCTCGTGCGGCTTCCACGGTGGCACCGCCAGGTGGGAGGTGGCCTCCGCTGTTATTGATGATTAATATCCGTGAGTCGAGAGGACGTCGTGTGGCGGTGTGTGGCTGACTGTCTGCCTGCAGCGTTAATTGCCCGTCAGCCTGTGGAATGTGCCTGGTGGAGCGAAAGCTCCGCGCGGCCGCGAGCTATCTCTGTTTGTCTGTTTGTCCGTTTGTCTGTGCTTGTCTGTCTCCCGGTGCGATGTGGTCGATGGCCCGAGCCCTGCGCCGAGCTCAGCTGCTCCGCAGGCCTTGAGAGCAGCTGGCGGCCGGGCGCTGTGTGGACGGCCTGGATCGCAAGGCTGCGACGAGCACGAGCTGTCGCTCCTGCGCTCGTCCGTGCGCGCTGCCGTCCGCCGTCCGCCGCTGACTCGTCCGCCCACCGTGGCGCCTGGGCCAAACAAAGGCGCGCCACGCCGGGCCGACGCTGACCGACCCGTTCTCCGCCTGGCTGTTGACAGAACATCCGCTGCACGAGCGCCGGCTGCGCCTGCACCAGCTTCACACCCGGCGAGGGCAGCATGAGGATGTGCCAGGATTGCAATCACGGCTGGATCCAGCACGGTAGGTCCTGACTGCGGGTGCTCGCGACGCCGCCGGAGAGCGCGACGCCCGCCCGGTGCGGCGGCGTGCCGCTCGTGGCGCGCGGGGTGAGAAAGAATGGTGGAGTGTGGTGCAGGCGTTGGCGACCGTCCTCCCGACGCTTGTCCTCGGGGCGCGCGCGATCTCGTGGTGCACTGGATGCAGGTCAGCGTGCACCCACGCACACCTGGCATGCACGGCCAACGAACCTCACAGATAAAGATTACTTCTGGCCCTGAAATAACGGTCCGCCCAGGCTGCAGGCGTCGGTCAAGGCCACTGGCTGCCAAATAATCGGCCCTTTGCGAAAAATGAACTGCGGCCACCGCCAACGAGGGTGCGCGTCTGATCGCCGCTGAGCGGGGAGGGCGTGTGCCGGACTCGCGAGCCCCGCGACGTGCGGGGGCCGCTCGCTGCGCCGGCGGTCCGGCTCCGCCGCCCATGCGTGCACCGGTCAACATTCAATAATGGAGGCGGCCCGGCTCCGGCCGCGCGCCATGCAATATTCAGCCGCCCAGTCAGCTGGGCGCTGCCCGGCCCGGCCGCCAGGTGGCAGTGGCGGCGCGCCGTGCGACCGGCCGCCGCGCGCCGGCCATGCATGCGAACGGCCGTTTTGCCGGCGCGAGGCGAGCCCTGCGCCGCGGCCCGGCCGCATTTATTTTTATAAAAGCGTTTTTCATCCGGCAGCGCCGGCCCCGGGGAGCCGTGTTGTATGATAAATTTGGCAACACTCGGAATTAATAAATATAAATGCTCGCACCAGACGGGTTAGAATCTTACCGGACCATACTAACAAGTGGGGCGGCCGTCCCCGGGCGGCGATTACCGGGCGGCCGGACGATGGCCACCGCTGCTGAGTGGCCCCGTGCCGACGGACGCGCTGCCGGTCCCAGCGGCGGCACACGGCGCGCGCGCCAGCAGTGGCAGAAGCTGGCCGGAGCTGGAGCCGCACCGGGCCGGGGCAGCAAACAGAGCAGTCGGGGAGGACGTGATGGGCGGTTTTGGGGACGTTGCAGTGAGTAGTGCGTTATGACGTATGATTTATGATTGTACGGATCATTTGGGTGTAATGATTGGGCCGAACGAAAAACAAAACCTGCTACGGGATAATCTCCGGAACGTTGTGACGTGTCCTCCTGGTAGGTCCAGTCTTTTGAAAACGTTATTCTATAGTTCTAGATGTGGGCGTCAGACACGAAGCTCGTCGATGGCGTAGATGGAATAATTAATCGGACTTCTTTACTCGTCAGTGGTGTTATTACACACACCAGTGTAAAGAACGACACGTTAACGTGAGCAGTAATCTGATTAATTGGCCCACCTGTGCTAACAACTCGTTCCAAATATTCCGTAGAACAACAACTGGATTATTTCGGCTAAACATCGGCCACCTCTGCATTAGTGTCACCATGCCCCACATGGCCACGTATACCTGACACAATACCCATCAGACACGCGGCGCGACATGGTCCGTGCGTGCTGCTACTTTAAAAACAAGGGATGCTGCAGATAAAACTGACCATTAAAGGAAGCACGTTTCAAAAACGGCGGACGGAAGCATTTCATTTAAGAAACCCTTGCATAACGCTCACAATCCCACGCTAAAATTCAGCATCATCGAGAGCCTTGAAGCGTCCCCTCCACTCCCCAAATTTATGGAGGGCTTCACCCATGACGGCACTGGACGTCTTCAAGCCGGGGGTGGTCCGATCAGCTATTGATCGTACAAACAGACGTCATCCACCGGGTCGTTGATTTTACCAAAAGGGCCTCGCCATAAATTTAGCGTTTGAACCAAGTTTACTTTTACTCTGATAGCGACGATGGGTGATAGCACTGACTGATCTTCTTTCGCAGTTAGATCAACACATCGCAAGCGTGCCGGGTGCTGCAGACCACTTATTCACGATGTACGTTTAAGATCGCATCGAATGTTTGACGCAATGAATATCATAATTGTGCCATGGCGCTATTCGTGTGGAAGACTTAGGTATCAAAGCTAGGCTTTCTCGTTTCTTATTTGTATCGTAGTGATTTTGTTTGGTAAAATAAACCAAAAAACGCAGAATGTTTACGTATGGCTCTGCAGGTAACATGATTTGACATGGATTAAGGTCGGCGAGCTAAACGAGGCCTTCGAGATAATCTATCCCTGGCAGGCTTGTGAACTAAGAGTCAGCTATTGCCTTTGGCAAGAACGCCATACTGCCGCCTTCAGGGCGTTTCAACTGTGTCCACGCGGATAATAACTAAGCACGAATACGAACACTAAAATCCAACGGTGCTCTCTGGAAGCCTGGGCAGCTATGGTATCCTCCAAAGTGTCATTAGATAAGCCACAGCAACTTGACCTAGGCAGGTGACCGTTCATCACGCCACCATGCCAGCTGGCTCACCGCTGATAGAAATTTGGCTGGCCTCTTGGCCTCCTGTCTGGCACGTAATTACGATCGTAATATTGCTTATAAATGCAAGCAGTCGCTGAGGTCGTGAATGTACGGCGAGCTCATTACAGGCTCACATCCACCGTGATGCTGAAAAGTTATCTGTCTTCAAAGTCTGGTGTCGCGGCCGGGGGACGATCATAGCGATTGACACGCTTTCTGTCTACCCTTGTACCGTCGTAAATTTTTTCATACTTTCTGCTCAGTCAGATTTATCATGGCAAATTGCAGGCTGACAAGCGCTATTTACGATAAAGAAAAGCCAAGTACTAAGGGCACAACAAAACTACCACAAATACAAAAGACTCGCAACTCAAATAGCGGTCGATATGTTCGCAAATCACTCGCGTCTTAGCAACAGACGAGACTTGCACTGCACAGCAGCGTCCTGGCACCATGACACCTATGCCACCTGATCTGCGCGAACCGGAGGCGTGATCCACCGCGTCACCGTCCTGCAGCCGGTCGGATGCTTTGTACGCATTCCGCGCGTGCGGCTCCGCTGCCGACGAGGACGGAAACCGGTCATGTAGTGCTGGGCCGGAAGTGTTTCGTATTCCAGCCGCGGGTCAGCCAGAGGTCGCGGCGCAGCAGCGGTGGCTGCTGGAATCGATCATGCGGGGTCACCGGGACCGACACTGGATACCGTCGAAGTGGAGCCAATCCGCGCCGCCACACGCTGCACAAACAATGCATCAATGTCGCACCCCCAGCAACGACAGGGCCGACCGAAGCGGTGGCTGGCGGGCGCCGACAGGAGCTCTGGAACGGCTCTCGGGCGGGCGAACCCTGCTCGGCTCGGGCCTGTGACCGGCCAGACGGGGCTGCCCCGCTACCAGATACGTCGCCCAGCAGCCGCGCCCGTCCCACAGAGCGGGGCAAAAACGGTCCGGCGACGACAAAACCGGCCCGATGACACATGGTAATGACTGGGGTCGCGTTTGTCACTCGGCCCGCGCCGGGGCCAAGACAAATACGCCACCCCTGCCCGCCGCCCCGCTCAAGGGGTTAACTCCTGGGTAAATACCATTGACAGGAAGCGGGGAGGCACGCGCCGCGCCCCGGCCGACGGCTGTCGCCGGCGCGCCTCTGCCTCGTGTCGACGCGTCGACGGCTGGCGGCGCGGAGGCCGACAGGTGACGCTCCTGCTTATGTCACCCAGCGCCGACTCTCCTCCGGCCGAAATACGACGCGGCTCGTTAGCAGTTTTACATGCGCCGGCGGAAATTTTATACGTTGACAAGCGGACGAGCGACGCCCGTTAACCAGGACGCCGCGTGCGGCGCGGTGGCGCGAGGGCCGCCGCCATCCGAGGCTGCACGCGCCTGCTGCCGCTGCACCGGCCAGACACGAGCCATGCAGACGGCGGCGTGCTCCACCAGCAGCTCAATAAACACGTCAGCTATGCCGCTGGCGGCGAACAGCGATGTTGAGCGCATCAAAGAGCAAGCGGGCTGGACGTGTCACAGGCGTATTTTGCGATCGCAGCGGCGATGCCGCGGCGCGCGGACTACACGCTCCGCCGGCCGATACGACTATTGGCGTTGGCAGACGGCTCGACTGCGATGCCGGTCTGGCCGTGTTGTCTTAGCACACGGCCCGAGCTGACCGGGCCTGTGAGTGACCCGGGCCGTCGGCTGGGCGCGAGGCCGCGACGGGCCGCTGGCCGGGACCGCTCGCCAGGCGGCGCCACCGCCCCCGGCACTGACACGGCCTGGCAGCTGCAGCCGCCGCCGCCGCCACGCACTCCCGCCAGCCGCCGCTTTTAAGAAATCACCGTGTTTGAAAATAATGTCGTGTTAACTTGTCTCGCTGCGTGTTGCGCAACATGGTTTTTGCGCTGACGGGCGAGACACCTGGAGACGCTCACTGTGTCACCGGAGAGACACCTGGGCTCTCTCAGTGTGTCACCGAGGGAGACGCGGCGACGGCAATACCTGGGGATGCGCGCCGTGTTATCGGCGACACACCGAAAAGTCGCCTCTCGCGATAATGGTGTTGCCGTGATACACAAGTGATTGCGGATGTCTCATACGTCTGGGTTACATGAGAGAGACTCGACGACATTTGCGACAGGACTGGACGTGCTCAGCGCGACATGGGCGCAGCAGTAGCCATGTTTACACGCCGTCGCAGACAGTTCACTCGAATGCAGTGCCCATGCATTGGGCATTGGCCAAGGGAATGGACATCGAGCATCGCGTTACATGCTTTGTGGCGTCTTACCCCAATGGCTCAGCTGGATGAAGATGTCGTCAGTTTACTGCTTGAAAGACCCGGGAGCTCGCAGCTACCTCGCCGACAGATTCAGATGCCGATGGACGGATTGACAATCGGCCGACAGATGACCGGTCAAATCAGGAAGAAGTCGTCGTGTCAAGTATCACACATGCATCGTGTCATTGCAGAGCGTGACACGTTAAAATCCCGACTTAAATCTCGAGTTGTGTTGACTTTTTAGTTCAACTGAGCTTGCTGTACTGTGTTAGTTGGGTCAGGGTGTGCGAGAAACAAATCATGCTCAGCGCGGACCATGGT